AACTTTCGATCCAATGTTATTCCTATGAGGGAAGGGCCTAATCTTAAGAGAGCTGTAACTTTCGAACGGGCGGAGGTACAGGGTCGAACGGGGCGGCTTTGGAAAGCTGAGGACCTGAGCTACATTTTGAAAAAAAAGTCAGCCTTCTCCGACCATCCTGGAAGATTCCAGAGCAGATTTGAATTGAAAAAAAAATGTATTTTCAAAACATCCTAAGTCCAAAGACTCATTTTACTCATTGAAGACACACATAGAGGGCGAGTAAGGTCTCATATTTTTTTTCTGAAAGCTCTCCGCGAGGGCTTTCAAAAATGACCCCACAAGCCTGGATCGGTATCCTCTGGGGGAAACTACAGGCAGGTTTCACTTTGTCGTCTTTTTTTTGAGTGGACTTAGGATGTTTTGAAAATACATGATTCAAATGTCGAGAAAACCGACATAATCGCTACCTACGTACGTGACATGTGGTAGAAATGCGACGGCAGCCGTTAGAGCTTACAAGGATCGTTCCCCGGAGAGGAGAGCGCCATGCAGGCCCTACTTCCAACGTCTCGAAGTGGGTTTGAGGACTTCAGGACGCCTCGATCGTTTGGCGAGATCCTACCCGAGCGAAGGATTGGAAACAGCCATGTTGGCCCACATCTCCGTGAGACCCGAAGCCTCATCACGTGGGGTTGCTGAACTGTGCTCAACGGATCATGCTACAGTACTAACTATGTTTCACAGGCATAATTTGAAACCCTTCAAAATTTGCGAAGTGCAACACTTGCGACTTGAAGATAGAGAGCGCCGCGAGACTTTCTGCAGGTGGCTCCTAGACCAGTGCCAGCGAACTCCGACCATCACCTCGAAAATCCTATGGTCGGGCGAATGCAACTTCAGTAGCCGTGGCTTCTTCAATCGAAAGCACACACACTATTGGTCCACGGCGAAAAACGGGCGCTTCACCGAGACGAACGCCCACGTGCGATTCAGTTTCAATGTTTGGAGTGGTCTCCCTGGGTCCCGGATAATCAGACCGCACTTTTACAGCGGAACTCTGAACGAAGCTGAGTACCAAAGATTCCTACAGAATGAATTCATCGACTTCTTGGATAATTTGCCTCTGAAAGACGAAGTCTTCCACGTCAGTCATCTCCCCTACCAAAGACTGGCCATCTCAAGGCAAAGCTTACGGAGGTTACCCGAAACATCGATGCATCATCGGTATCCAGCTGTCGCATTCGCCGGGCCAGGCGATCATTTAGAGTCTTATATTCCTTCCTCAGAGGTTTCAAAGAATTCCCTGCGTCCAAAGGCAACCTCGGGACCCTAAGTTCATCTCCTTCTCTTTTCGAAGGGGCAGTCGAGTCCACAGGATCTTTCTTGGGGGAGGGGGGCTGATTTCCAACATTGCGACCCCCTCCCATACCTAGGTATTACGAACTCTCAATCAGGGAGGGGGCTATAACCCCCTAGCCCCCCATCCCCGCTGCGGACGCGCCTGGAAATGGGTGATGAGTTCGTATGAGCACGTTTGATTTTCTGATTGAGGCCATTATGCCTTCCCTAAAGAAGGTTCGTAGTCCGTACAGCAACGTTCCTAATAATTAAGGCAGAAAGGGATGAACAGACTCACTACTCACCCCATACTTTCAGACAAAAGGGGATAGTCTGCGCCTTGAGATCAACTCAGATCAAGTGCAGCAGCTATCGGAGAGGATGGAAGGTTCACCCGGAATGGTTCCACAGCCTTCGCGGGAACACGAGATCGTTTCCCAACCAAGTTTTCTATGAAATAATTCTTGCGGAGAGTGAGCGTGAGCGTTCTCATCGCCTCCGTTGTTGAACCGTACGAAGTTCTGACCAGAATGAGTTTAATACCATACGTCGCCGAGTGATAAGTCAGCTCGACAAAGGGGCAGGTAAGGCCGCTCAGTTTCTCTCTGTCTGTGGAGAATGCTGTAAACGTTGTCGTATGTAGGCATCGCTGCAGCGATTCTTCCGTAGGATGAGACCTTTCCATCTCTACGAAGCTGTCCGCCAAAACTTGTTGGTAGACTTCTTTGCTCGATTCGTCCGGCCGACTCAAGCATTGCTCCTTCATACTATATGTTGCGAGGCTCTATGTCGCAGTAACAAGCCAATGATCAGAGTAAGGCGCGTCAGCTCATGCCGGTCATGCCAGACTGTTGACATGCGTGCCGAGTGGCGAGGGCGAGCGTGTAGCGCGCTTCTATTCGAACTCAAAGCATAGAGCGAAGGCTCTCCATTATTTGTCATTTACATGCTGTAACATCTTCCTTTGCTGGATTGTTATTATTATGGAGAATAGACATTTGGCTGCTTGTACCGTCTTACGAATCTTGATTGTCCCGATGTGATTCGCAGAGCCACTACCTTTTGAACTATGGATACCAGTGGGCGATGGTCAGACTCTATTTCGAACTCCGCGCCAAGTATGTAGAACTTGAAGTGTTCACAGGCGAACACCACTGCCAGGAGTTCTTTTTCGATTTGGGCGTAACGCTGCGGGGTTCCGTTGAGGCTGGCGGATGCGAAGGCCACCGGCTAGCCATTTTGCAGTAAGGCCGCTCCTAAACCGTACGAGCTGGCATCGGCGCTGACAGTGAGTTTTTCGTTTTGCTTGATGATGTTGAGTTGTGGCGCGTTGGCGATGGCTGATTTGAGATCATTGAAAGCTCTTTCTTCCTCAGTCCCCCATCGGAATTTTTCGTCGGAGTGTGTGAGTTTCCGGAGAGCAGCCGAGCGGTTGGCACAGTTGGGTACGAATTTCGCGACGTAATTGACCATTCCCAGGAATGTTCTCACTTGTTCGGCGTTTGTGGAGCTTTCAAGGGGAGGATCGCCTCGACTCTGCTAGGCGGTATCGCGATGCCACCTCTTCCGATTGTGTGGCCTAAAAACTTGACTCCCGTCTGGGCCAGCTGTAGCTTTGATTTTTTTAATTTGAGTCCTTTCTCGCGACATCGCTCTAAGAAGAGCTGCAGACGTTGGTATGCTCTTCTTTTGTTCGGCCGTGTATAAGGAAGTCGTCGACCGAGTTTATGATGCCATTCAGGTCCGCGAAGTGTGTGTGTACAGCTTCGCAGGGGTCTAGGTAATCTTACATCACAACAAAGGCCGGCGGCCATTTTTCTTTAGGGAAAGGGTGAAAGCAGCCGGGATCCTACCCGCTGAATAAACGGCGAATGTCTAGGTAACCTTACATCACAACAGAGGCCAGCGGCAGTTTTTTCGAGGGAGAGGGCGGAAATAGGAGGAGGATTCTACTCGCTGAATCGAAGAGTCGAGAGAAGAATCGGAAAATTGGATTGATTTCCGAACTTGGATTCCTTCGGCCTATATATGACGACTACGCAATTCCCTTTTGCAAATGACGTGGAATCTGTTCAGCTACTCGGTGGAGACTATACCATATCGATCAGGAACGTTTGTGAATTTTCATACCGATTCTCCCAACATACCCCAATATATCGCTATTCGCCTGCTTTGCGAGGGAAAACCTTATATCCGAGTGATGGTACCGTCAACTCATATCCTCACTCCCACACTCGAAACCCCTCGTGAAAGCCGACAGGTTCCTTTCGTCCGAACCTCTAATAAGTCTCAGCAACCGCGATGACGCGACTCAAAGAAAGGGTTCATCAAAGACCTATAGGTATAGAATATATCGTCGACTGCAATTGTCTTCCTCCTCATCTGTATCAACCTGAAAGGCGACCCCTCTCCGGATCGCGTCGATCTATGACTGCGTCTGGGAAAACCCTCAAGTGGCCCCTCATTCCGGAATCGATATCTTTGTGTTGTACAGAAAGCATTCTTAGTTAAAGTTTTTCATCAGCTTCTCACATCATTGCTCAGCAACCGCGCGGAAGCGACCCCGGGCAAGGGTCGATCGAATACCTATACAGTCAAGTCTTCCTAAATTGAACCCGCCCTAAATTGAAAACCCTCGCTAAGTTATAATTTGAACCAATTTCCAGCAGCGCTCCGATAAGTTGTAACATAGACTTCCTTGCAAGAACCCTCGCAAATTTATAAAAGCCCTCTATAACTTATAGATTGTAATCAATTAGTCTCGTGTTTTGAGAGGCGCTCTCGGGAAAATATTATTTCTCATTGAGTTCTCATTCAATGAGAGACTCCCGGACATTCTGACTATCTACCGATATGAGACCCGCTCTGACTCGAATGTGGGATGTGATCTCGGGCGTTTGTATGTGCCTCTGAGAATGTGTATCGAGCTCGAGTTGAACGAAGTGACGTTCAGAGTCGTTCAGTCCGCTCGATTCTGTGCCGAGGACGGGTCGCTCGACTTGGTCAGAGAGGAAAATGGCCAAAGCCAGGAAAACAAGCTTGAGTCTGAAAGAAAAAACTCAACTCCTCGACGACCTGGAATGCGGGGTTGGTATCCGCGAGGTCATGACCAAGTGGAGAGTGTCACAAGGGACGGTGTACAATATCAAGCGAAATGCGGAAAAGATCAGGATGCAGTGTGCTCAGAAGAAGTCTCATAAAAGCAAGCGCTTCAGAACGCCGAAGTTTCAAGGTATCGAGCGGGACCTATTCAAGGCTTTTGAGGATGCCAGGCTCGAACACCCAGACCTCCCTATTTCGGGCCTGTGGTTGAAAGAAAAGGCGAAGGCAATCTCGGCCGAGAATGGGAATTCCGATTTCAAAGCCTCAAATTCGTGGCTAGATGGCTTCAAAGCGCGCTTCAAGCTTTCGACTCAGAGAATTTGTGGCGAAGCTTCCAAGGTTGACCAAGAGGAAATCGAACGCTGGATGAACGAGAACGAAAGGACTCTGAATGAATATTCGATCAAGAACATCTTCAACGCCGATGAGACTGGCTTCTTTTATAGGATGTTGCCGAATCGGTCAATCCATTTCAAAGGCAATGCTTGCCATGGAGGGGAACAGAGTAAAGAAAGATTCACAGCACTCTTGTGCGCCAATTTCGAGGGAACGGAGAAAATGATCCCCTTGGTCATCGGAAAAAGCGCAAACCCGCGCTGCTTCCCAAAAAAAACGCGGAATGAGAAGTTCCACCGAGCTTCGAAACTCGGCTGTGAGTACAGATCACAGAAAAGAGCGTGGATGGACAGTCAGATCTTCGGTGAATGGCTCCTGAAGATCGAAGAGAACTTCAGAAGAGAAAATCGCAAGGTCCTCTTGTTACTGGATAATTTCAAATGTCATGATCTCGACCTCGAGCTGAATTTCGTCAAGGTTATCTTCTTGCCGCCGAGGACAACTTCACATACCCAACCAATGGATCAAGGCATCATACATAACGTGAAGCAGATCTATAAGAAGAAATTAGTGGAGCATTATTGGACACAGATTCAAAACGGTGTTAACAAACATGTAAATCTGCTCCAAGGAATTCGCTTTTTGAGCGAATCTTGGGACGAAGTCAAGGAAACCACAATCTTCAATTGTTTCCGGAAATGTCTGCCAAACGTGCACGTCAGCATCTCTCAAGAGGATGAACCAATCGTGGAGGACCTGGACGATATCGACCCAATCATTAGAAGAGAATGTTTCCCGAACGGGCTCGACTTCCACGGTTTCGTCGAAGCTGACCGAAACCTAACCACAATCGAAGATGGTACATTCGGATTCGAGCTTGACTCGGATTCCAATGACTTGGACGATGATTCCGAAGTCATTTTCCGGGAAGAGGAGGAAGGCCCCCCAGGAGAGGCTGATATAGTGACAGATAAGGAGGCTCTGCAAGCCGTGTCCATTCTAATCACTCACGTCACTCAGAGGAATGATCAGATGATCGATATCAGCGTGACTTTGCAAAAATATCGTCGTCAACTTATCTCGGATTTTTTGAGGAGTAAGCGACAAGCCGACATCCGATCCTATTTTCCGATGTCCGCTCAGTGACCGGTGATCGTGCACGATTTCAGATTGAGCTTCTCCAATGTACATACTATACATTCCAATCAATTAATTTCACCATGGAAATATTAATAAAATATCGCTGGAAGAGGAAGAACAGAAAAAACATGAGCCTTCGCTAACTTATAACTTATAATTTTCTCCGAAATCGGTCTCCCGAGAATTATAACTTAGGAAGACTTGACTGTAGGTATAGGATATATCGTCGAGAGAACATGTCCAACTCCTCGCCCGAGGAGGAGGTGACCTTTTCTACCTTTTTCGGATCGAAGCGCGCGATGACAGCTTCCGAAAAGAGGCACCCCCTCAAGGGAGGGGCTTATCAAGCACCGATACGATATATCATCGAGATGAAGTTTCTCCCTCCTCGCCCGTATCATCCAAGTCGGTAACTTTGATCGCCCTTGTCGAAACTGTAGGAGTGTCCAGTGTCACACCGTATGCCATTTCGTTAGTCTGCAAACTCGAGCGATGCAAAGTCCAAGTGAATCTTTGATAAACCCTTTCTTTGAGTCGCGTCATCGCGGTTGCTGAGACTTACTAGAGGTTCGGACGAAAGGGACCTGTCGGCTTTCACGAGGGGTTTCGAATGAGGGAGTGAGGATATGAGTTGACGGTATCATCACTCGGATATAAGGGTTTCCCTCGCAAAGCAGGTGAATAGCGATATATTGGGGTATGTTGGAAGAATCGGCATGAAAATTCACAAACGTTCCTGATCGATATGGTATA